GTGGCGGTGCTTCCGTGCTTGTAATAAACTCAACAGAAGCCTCCCAAAATCTTTATCCTTGAAATACTTGTGTGAGCAACACTAGTATAGCAGTGCATATTATGTACATATTATGAAGTCTCTTTATATACTTACAGAAGTATATAAGTCTCAGAAGTAATAGCCTCCCCAAATCTTAATCGTTGAAATATTTCTGAGCAACACTAGCATATAAGCTCTACAGAAGTATGTAACAGTATATAAGCCTCCCCAAATCTTTATCCTAGAAATACTAGTAAGTACAGTACTTCCGTGCTTATGATAACCTCTACAGAAGTCTCTTTTATAACAGTGCATATTATGTACATATTATGAAATACTACTTGTATGAACAACATTAGTATATTATATTAAATTTTGACAGGTGCACTGAAATATGTACATATTATGAGTATCTGTCTATAATGAGTATCATTTATGCATTATTATTGCAAGCATTGGAGAAAATGGTGGGATTAGAACAATGCGTACTTATTCTTGAAGGTTTCTAAAGCAGTCAATTTATTGTTTTCTTGGCCATTTTGATAGTCTCCTTTTCTGAACTGTTCTATTCCTCTGTTGGTTGGCACTTGGAAATGGTTTTTGGGCTGCTTACAGACATTGGTGTTTGGATTTGGAATTCAACCGGACATTTTCATGTCCTAGATGGAATTTCTAATCTCATTCCTCGTCTTGGCACTTTGGAGAGCAATGATGAGATCTACAGCAATATCATTGTGCTCAACCAGCGTCCAACATGAACAATGCTCGGATAAATTTGTTTGGACAATTATGTCTTGCTCTTAAGCCTTCAACTTGCTGCTGCTCTATTTATTTCAGAATTCGGCATTGCTTAGATGGAGCATTTTATTGAAACCGCTGTATAGTCTGAGCTCTCTCTATCCCCCTAGATATATCTTCTTTTTGGTTTTTGCTTTCCTATGGTGTATTTTGTCTATTTCTATTGAGGTTGTTGTATAACAAAAATAAACAATGATTGTAAGTTGGTGCCTCAAAAGACGAGTGGGATGTGATGTTGATGAAGCTCAACCAAAAAGGTATCAAGGCAAGCAAACAAGTTAGAGAGAAAGCTCTAGACAATTCTCAAAGAACATTAGTTATAGAATAAAATAAATGTTGGGAGTGCTTAACATTATGTGCAACTTGCTTGCATTATTAAGAATTTATGATTCATATCAGCTATTTATGCATTTTTTTAAAAGATTTGTATTTTTTTTTAAGACTTTATGATTCATTGTTGTACCGTACATCTTATTATATAAACTATGTCTGTAATCAAATTATTTTTATCAATTGAATCACTTGTTGTAACTAGGCCATTACTTTTACAAGTGTTTTTTCTTATTTTTTATGTATCAAATACATATATTTCGATTTATCAAAAACCAAACCGATTAAACTGAAAGAAATTTCTGTTAGGCTGGTTCGTTTCTAGCAAAATAATATTTGGTACGGTAGTTCAGTTTTTGGATTTCGGTTTAGATCGGTTGGCCAAATTTTAAAACTGATCCATCTGAACTGACCGAATGCACACCCCAAGCTGTAGATAAAAAAAATGTAAAGGTAGTTGTTGACCTCATTTTTGTGAGGTCTTTCCTTTCTTCTCACTAGAGCCTAGAATCTAGCCATAGGGTTTTCCTTTGACCATCTTAGAAGCCTAGTGTTGAGACCTGCCCTGCTTAGAAATTCAAACCACTTATTGACTCTTCTTGGGGGTCTCACATGTGTGGTTTTGAACCACCAGCACTTCAATGGTTGAGACCAACACGGTGAAACCCAAAGAAGATTCCTATAGGACCTTTAAGCTCTAGGGTGACCTTGTGCATACCCCATTCACATCACCTTCACTTGCACACACTTCACCGTCGATTAAAACTAAAATTAATTTTCAAAATGATCAATCACGAACCAGAATTCAAAAAAATTTAAATTTGACGTATTTTTTACCTAAATGTCGACGAACTTGTCCAAAAGAACCTGAATGACAAAACGGACCGTGCGAGCTCGTCTGGGACATCTATTTTACCTAAGAGGAACACCCATTTTGATGTAGTTTCGTGCACAAATGAATAGTGCGTGAATCGGGGATTGTAAATATTAAACATTATAAAATTAAAAATAATATTAATAAAACATTTTATTTTTCTCCTAAATCCCTAAAGCACGCGACTTCCTCCTCTCCCTTTCGCGAAACTCGCGGTCCTTCTCCTTCGGCCCAAGCGAAGCCCAGGCTAACCGAGCTCGATTCCTTCCACCCCTTCTGTCGGTCCCTTCTCGCCCGAGCCCTAACCGGCCGAACATCTCCCCCATTCGCGAAGCCCTGGCTAGCCGACTCCCCAGCCAATCGACCCTCTCCCTTCCCAACACCTCTCGAGCCGAAATTCCACCTTCCCGATGCTATGCCTGTTTGAATCCCCTATTTTTTTTAAAGAGGTCATAGGCTCTCTTCTTGGATATTAAAAAAAAAAATCCCCTATGGGAGGGTTTGTGGTGGTTGAAGCTCTGCTAAGTGAAGGTGCTGCTAGATTTTTCTGGGTTTGTTCTTTAAGTTTCTTTGGGCTTGCATCAAGAGGTAAACTATTTCTTCACTTTCTATTCAATCAATCCCCTTTTGAAAAGCATGAGATGCACGTGTTAGTATGTGCTTTAATTTGGGCATGTGATGTGTGTAAGGTTGCTTCCATCAGCATATTATTCCATTTATTTGAGGTTCACCTTACGAAGTGTTCAAAGCATTTTATAGAACTGCAAATGATTCATGAGTTTTATAGCGATTGTTGCTAGATACGCCAATGTGACTGCTGAGCAATGCTGGAGGCCATGCATGTCTGTTGTGATTTTCTATCTCCTCTATTGAAGAATGCTTCATCTTTGCTCTTCTAATGAAGAAGATCCGCTTTCTCTTTGCTGGTAGTTCAATACCCCTTTGGAGTTGGGTATGGAGGGAGCAGAAATTCGTGCTTTTATATGCCAATTGGCTGCTGACCTATGCAAGAAGTTCAACATCTATTTCTAGTTGCATAATTTTTTGTTATATGCTCATACCGGTGAAGCCATTGTTACCTTGGTTATGCATCTGTTATGTTTTGTAAATTGCTCATATTGGTGAAGCCATAGCTATCCTGGTAGTGCATCTTCTATGTTTTGTTATAAAATATTGGCAGTACGTGAGTAACCCCCTTAGTCTCTCCACACGTTTTGCTCTCTAGTTTTGTTGATTTGGAAGAAATAGTTTAAAAGACGTTTTGCTCTATATTTTTGTTGATTTGGAAAATGTTTGAGAGTTGTTTTAGCTCTATGTCTTGGATGATTTAAAGGACAGTTTAAAGCTATTTTTGCCCCATGTTTTGGCTGATTTGAAGGGGATTTAATAGCGACCTTTGTTCTCTATTTTTGTTAATTTGAGAGAGTTTAAAAGTTGTTTTTGACTCTCTGTTTACTGTTTTGGAAGAAGATTCAATTGCTTTTTGGGCTGATTGTTTATTGTTCGGGAAGAAGTTTAGACGTTTTTTTTTTTATTGATTATTTACTGATTTGAAGGATATTCAAATGCCCTTTTTGAGCTAAATGTTCTTTTTTTTTTTTTTTGAAGGCCTGAAATTTTGCATACATATCACAAAATTCATATGCATTTACATATCCAACATCCAAACTTCATGATTTACATATATACCACCCAATCTTTATGTGCTTGCATATCTAATGCTTAAACCTCAATTTCTACATATGCAACACCTTACTTATGCATGAAAAGGTGCAAGTGAAAGTAATCACGTGTTTATGATATGAAAGGTTCGGTCAGTATAAATGTGAAAAAAAAAATTAAAATTTAAATGTTAGATATGTAAATGCATAAGCATTGAGTGTCATGTGTGAGTCTTGCACAACTAAAAAAGTGGGGGCGGGCTTGGACGTCAAACATGTGAATATATGGGAATTAGGTAATATGTGAGTAATTCCCTTAGTCTCGCCATGCCTTTGCCCTCTATTCTTGTTGGTTTAAGAAGGATTTAAAAGTTGTCATCTCTTACGTTTTGGCTGATTTGAAAGAGGTTTGAAAACTATCTTTTGGTTCCCTATTCATGATGATTTGGAAAGAGTTTAAAAGCTTTTTTTAGCCATACATGCTTACGGTTTTGGAGTTGGTTCTGAGGGCTTTCGCCCACTGTTTTGGAGCTATTGTTGGGGGTTTTGCTTACGATTTTGAAGTTGGTTTTTGGGGGCTTTTGCCTACTATTTTGAAGGCTGGTTTTGAGGGCCCTTTGCCTATTGTTTTTGGGTTTCACTTGATTGCTATTTTGAAAAGAATTAAATACTTTTTTTTAGCTGGTTCACTAGTTATTCTTCCTTTTCTGCTCTACTGATTTAAGGAATTGGGCCCATCTCCTCTCTTTTCCCTTTGATTCATTTTCTTTTCTTTTCGTTGCTTGATGGCTTAGATTATGTGTTTATATCCAAATATAAGTGCATATAAGGTAGAGATAAGTGAATCATCAAGCATGGCTATAAGTTGGACGGTTCGAGCTTCAAGAGCGACGACGATAATGCTTACGTGTGCTAAAAGTGGGATATGAGAATAGTATCTCCTGTCTTGATGAACTTCGATGGGGGAGAGCAGGATCGATGATACTATTGACAGCTTTTGGTGCGAAGTTGCCCCTTGCTTTCTTACATTGTCAGTAGTTCTAGCCCGATCGAGGAGAATAACTTGTAGAGAGATATATATATATATATATATATATAACCAGAGACTTGAAATAAAAATAGGATTCTAAGTCAATTATATCAAACTCATACATAATATAATTCATACTCTTACATCTTCAAAAATAAAAAGTTCGAAGCCAACAAACCAGCATAAAAGGCTGCACAAACAACAACAACAACAGCTCTGTTGAATAATAGAGCAATAGTAATAATAAGAGTACTCCCAGGGAGCCAGAAAAGATGGCAGCAGAGGCTCACTCGCAAATCCAAGGGTGGAGATTGCTTTGCCAGTTTGACAGACATTCTGGAAACCACAAAGCGATCTCCTTCCTGGCATTCTCAACTGAATCGCTTCCATGGATTACATTCCTCCCAACTTCAATTGCATGATCCCCGCGAATAGTCCCGGGTTCTGAGTTAGAAGGGTTGGTAGCCCCGATCACCTTCCGACCAGTCACAACAATGTTCTTCCGCTCCCAAACCATAGCCACTACCGGACCGGAGATGATGTACTCCACCAACCCATGAAAAAAGGGCTTCGCCGACAAATCCTTGTAGTGCTTCTCAGCGAAGGACCGCTCCACGGTTACAAGCTTCAACCCTTTCAGGTAGAAACCTCTCTTCTCGAATCGCCCGATGACATCACCAATCAGGCCGCGTTGGACGCCATCAGGCTTGATCATGATGAAGGTCTGCTCCATCTTAATTGCTTTCGAAGATCTCTCTCTTGATCAATTAAGGGCATGGCACACACACACACACACACACACACACACACACACACACACACACACACACACACACACACACACACACACACACACACACACACACACACACACACACACACACACACACACACACACACACACACACACACACACACACACACACACACATATATATATATATATATATATATATATTTTTCGATGGCCGTCCAAAGCTCCGCTAGGGCTTCTAATGACAATTTTTGTCGCAATTGATTCTACCGCTCGAAGGGAGAGGACCTCGCATCGTCGACTCTCGCTCCATACTGTCGCCTATGTCGGCGTCTCTTTCGCAGCTTCGCTTCATTGCTCATGTCGTCGTCTCGATCGCAGCTTCTGTTCTTTCGCAGCTCCCTTAGCTCGCGTCGTCTCTGGTCGACGCTACTTCCCTGGTCTACGCTCTGTCAGCTTCGCAGCCTTTGATGCTTGCAGCTCCCTTAGCTCGTGTCATCTCTGTTCGACACTGCCCAGCAATTTAACGCCCTCGCTTCCTTGCAGCCCGTCAGACCATTTCTTTCCTGACCGTGACCATCATCTTGCGAGAGAGATGACCTCGACGCTCCATTCCTATGCAAATGTCATTGTCGGTGACTTGCTCATTCCTTCTCGGGCCCCTCCTCCCGGCTCCACGGGTGTTCAGAGTCTGTTTTTGTTATCGGTAAGTCCTGTAATATTCCACAATCTTACAACGAGGCTCTTGAAGATGGCGGTGATCACACTTTTATTAAAAAGCTTGGGAAAAAATTGGGAAGTTTGCACTTATTCTCACTGAGGTTGAAACTGGTGCTCTAGCGTCCTCTTGGCGTTTTGCTCTAGTGGGGAAATTCCTTTATGGTCACCCAAAACTGGAGATCATTAGGAAAGAATTTGATGCTATGAAATTATTGGGCAGTTGGAATATTGGTCTATTAGACGGTCGGCATATATTTATTCAGCTATCTCACGATGTCGATTACACTCGCATTTTCTCTCAAAAAGTTATCAAAATCGACAATCGTTTTATGAAAATTCTGAAGTAGACGGTCGGTTTTGATAAAAAAACAGACTTACCCTATCATTCCAGTTTGGATAAAGTTTTCGGGCTTAAAATTACATCTATTCAACATGAAAATCATCTACTCTTTGGCAACTGCTTATGATAAGTCTCTTAAGGTGGATAGTCCTACACTTGCTGTCACGATACCCTTTGTGGCTTGTGTTTTAGTTGAAAGGGATATCACTCAACCAGCTCCGGATGAGATATGGATTGGCACTGTTCACAGCGAGTATTGGCAAAAAGTTGAAAAAGAACTACATCCTCCTTATTGCTCTCATTGTAGTATGTTTGTTCATAGTTCTACTATTTGCTATCGTTTGCATCCTCATCTAAAGCCGAATATCACTAAAGATCAGTCACCTACCATCCTTGTTGAGAAGGTCCAATCTGATCCTCTTTCCAACATTGCAATTCCACATAAAGAACGTCTTACTACATGTACAGATTCAAATGTGTTGATACAATTTACTGTTATTGAAGAAGACTCACTTACATGCCAAGACACACGAGAGTGCTCCTTTGACCAGATAGAAGATCAGCTGGTACAACAAGTAGTTGTTTCTAATGTTCAACAACCTACACATATCATGCACAATCCACATATCATGCACACTTCAGACCATTTTGTTGATCAGGTCAGTCAATCTTCGGATGAGGAATGACAGGTCTACATGAGGAGAAAGAAAAAGAATGGAGGACGACTCGAGCTAGGGAATCTATTGGATGATACATTGGTTACTACTGCCAATGGCACTCATCTGATCAATTTATTAGCTGGCTCATTCCCTAGAACTAGAGGCAGAGACAAGACAAAATCGGGTCACTCTCCAACTACCTGATACTCTTATTTTAGCATCTTTTTGTTTTTTTTAGTTCTCTTATGTTTTTTATTGTATTTTCTCCTTTTTTGTGTAGGTTGGGTGCCATGTTTGAAGCATTCCATTAAATTTATCTGTACCCTACCTTTTATTTAATATATTACCCTTTGGGCTTTCAAAAAAATAATATATATATATATAGATACTTTTCACATGAAACTACTACTTTTGACTGTTAAATAAAAGTTCACTCCTACATGCATGAAAAATTAAGAATTTTGGGTGCTAACCTATGCAAGTTCACTTGTAAATCACCTTGATTAGGCTAGGAGTTACCCTCCTTAGTTTGCTTGGTTGGTGGCTTCTATCCAGGGTTAAATTATAAAGCATGCAGCCCCGCTACCCTGAACCTGAATGTTTATGGCCCAGTTTAATGTTTCACATATATGTTACTTCCTTTTTTTTTTTTTAGTTTCACTGCAACACTTGTTTACTTTTACTTATAATACTGACATTTTTGTAGCAGCAACAAAAACTTCTAGGTACGCAAATTTATCTTACATTTACTGTGTTTTATTGTTTTTTGCAGCACTCTTTACTGCATTTTTACCATGTCTTTACTATTTTTTTATTCATGCATTACTTACTTACAGTACCTGCGAAGCCCCTAGGTAAAAGAAAGTAGGACACCGATTAGAAGGTACCCTGCAGCAGGCTTGAGGCCCAACAATAATTACACATGCATACAAAACATAAGCCCTAAGTCTAGAGCCGTCGCAACAAGGAGCTTGAAGCAAGCTGCCAAGGAAGAAGGATAACTTCAGAGACAATGGATGTTTAGCAGTGGAGCAGATTTACTTCAACTAAATATTTTCTTAGTCTTAAATAAACACAAACTCATAGGACTTCGAGGTGGTATGTCTAGTGCGGCATAAATTATCTTATTATTCTTTAGGATTTTGCACAATCATGTTGTGCAGTATAAGTCCTAACTTTGTAGGATTTCGAAGTTGTCAGTCTGACGCAATGTAAACTCTCTTATATCTCTCTCTAGACTTTGCATGAGCGGATATCATGCAAATGTAAGTTCTAATTTTAATAATTGACAAAAGTAAATATCAAATAAATATCATTTCTAAAACATAAAGTCAAACAGTTAAATAGTCTGAGAAGTCGCTAGGTTTTTTTTCTTGGATCCGTAGTATCCACTACCTTCACTTCTTTGACTTCTGAAAATAATTATTTCTACTTAGTCATTCTCATTTGACTTTTCTATGTCCAATCTTGAAAACTAAATTTTGAAATCTTGAAAACATAACCACTGATTTTAATCGGGAGTTCTCTTAAGTCACTTCAGTTATTTAAGATGTACTTAACTGTACGGTCTTGCCTCTATATGGAACTTGAAGTCCAGGTAAAATAAACCTTAGTGAATCTTTATACTATGTAGGGAGTCACACATAAAAAGATCGTAGACTAAACAGATGACATAAATTATTTAATTTATATAATAAAGCCCACCGCCAAGTACTATGTTTGTCTCTCGGGATGGTGTATTATGTAGTTTTGTGCTCAATTATTTAAATTATTAGATATATGGGATTTATTCGGTCTCATATGTTTTAAAATTAAAATACTATTTTTCAAAATCAAAATTACATGTGTATACATACATTAAATTTAAATTATTTTCAAAATTTCGATCGACAGTAGTTTAAAGATAAGTGCTAAAAAACAACTTTCATGCTATCTAAGTTCTAACTTTTTGCAGTTGCAACTCATAGTACTTGGCATGGCATGGATTCATTAAAAAAAAATTTGTACCATGAGGATATTTCTAGTGTTCTCCTTTTTTTGCAAAAAAAAATTAATAAAAACAACAACAACAACAAAGCCTTAATCCCACTACGTGGGGTAGGCTACATGAATCCTCATTTTTTACCCGCATTCGCCCGTAATATGGGAACCCTTGTTTATTTAACATTACACCCGGGCACCGGTGTAGCGGCCCTTGCACACTTTTCACTGTATTCAGGCTATACAACGCGTCGCTTCAAGGGAACGTCCTAGCACTTGCACAATGATCAAAAGAATTCATGTCATGATTTTTTTTCGACAAGTTTTACGCTGGCTGTCGACTACTGAATGCAACCCTCCACTTTTCACATCCGGGTTTGGCACCAGCAATAGTAGTGTTAAAAAAAAAAAAGATAAAAACAATGAAATTAAATCCTAGAGATTGAAATATACTCCAGAAACAAAAACAATAAGTTAAACTCACACCTCCAACGTATAAATTGATTAAAACGTTTCCAACTAACAAATTAAAAAGCAAGCACTCTAATGGAAACTAGCTGAAAGTTGAACAATAAATCCCTTCCAAAATTAGATTCATTCAATGCCACATGTATAAAAGTAGAGTCATGTGCATGTGCAAAAAGTATATCACCTGAATGATTGCTTAAACCATAAAAGTAGTTGAAGCAAGAAAGAGTGATCTTCCTCATCCTTTGATGGTTTGAAGATACCCTCCTAATCAACGAAAATTCCTCATAATAAGTTCATACCACATTATAGGAACCCAATATAACCATCCATAAGGTATCAAATAATCAAATCCATATGCTGGGAAACAAATATTAAATGTTCCTTTTTTCTTGTTTGAATTAGTAGGGTTATTTACCCTCATGGAAAGTCTAATAATATAGAAAACAAGACCTAGAAGCAGTGTGTCACAAATTATGATGAGAACTTGAGTAGATAAGCTATAAGAAAATCAATCAAAGAATTTGACGGAAAATCATATCAGGTGGCAGGGTCCAATCAACAATTAACAAGTCATAATTTGCATCTTAAAACTCAACAAAATTTTATTTGAATTCAACATCTGGGATATCACGTCCCGAGAGTGAGGGAAAAGCTTCTGAAACTTTGATTTTCCGGATAGATACTTCATAAGTCAATCATATACAGATTGGGATAATGTATTGTCCCCACAACATCAGCAACTGTTAATCAGAAAGGTGCAATGACTAACAAAATTTGAAGCTAGTGAGGCGAGGATCCAACCATAAGCAAATGGCAATTAATTAATCGCATGTTATATGAAGCTTTAGCTTAAACATTCAACATTTGAATTAACATAACCGACGAAAACCTTAAACCTACAAGCACGTTCACATAACAACATTTATTTTTAGGGAAAATTACATACATTCCACACATTTCTTATGCATTTACATATCTAACACCTATAATTTGATATTTAAATTTATAACACCTTGGAATCAAAAAAATATGCATGAAAAGGTGTTTTTCACTTTTAAGAAATTAGTGATAGTATTTTACTTTTTTGGGCAATGTCAAATATTTGAATGGTAAATAAATGTGAAAGTTTAGGTGTTGCACGTGTAAATATATAAAAATTGTGATGTATGTACGTAAATGAACTTTATAAGTTGAACACATTCTAAAACGTCATGACATCAACACTCTAAAAAATATGAGAATCCTTAAAATCATGCATTTCTATCATAAGCTGAGTTATGTAAGTTGTTGCAAAGTTGGCATTACTCTCTTAACTTACTCTCTTAACTCCTTGATCTTTGGTGCATTTTCTTCCTTCTCTACCTTATCACTTAACTCGCTTCGCCATCTTCGCCCTTTCTTAAAAGCCAATCTATTTTTTCCATCAAGTCTCCTATGATTACAAGAGTAGTCAAAGGATCACTCTCCCGAATTTTTTTGTGAAATATTTATATGCAGACCACTCAATTCTTATGTATTTACATATGTAACACCTAAACTTCAATCTTTACATGCTGCCACCTTCCCTATACATGAAAAGGTATATTTCAGTTCTTAAAAGTTAAAATGGTGATATTTTTTATGTGATATGAAAGATTTGGTTCTTATAGATGTAAAAATTAAAGTTTAGGTGTTAGATATGTAAATATATAAGAATTGGGTGGTATACATGTAAATGCCCCTTTTTAAATTTACATATGCATCACACATTTTTTATGTATTTATATATCTCACGTTTAAACATTCATATTTACATACATATCACTTTGGTGTTTTAACCTGTGCATGAAATGTTGTATTTCACTATTAAAAAGTGGTAAGAGTGTTATTTTTTATGTATATTAAAAATTTGAGTGCTATGTGTGTAAATATTAAAGTTTAGGTTTGAGATATGTCAATGCATAAGAATTGTGTGATATGTATGTAAATGCCCCTTTTTTTTCTTTAGAACAAATATATAGAGGCATCCATTATCTACCATCAAACAATCCATTAGGCTCCCTGACGTGGACGGCCTATAAAGGGGGGCGGCCAAGCCGCCTGCCACTTCTCTCCCCCTTTCCTTCTATGTATTTCCCTATTGGAGTCTACATATTTGTTATTTTATTAGAATTACAGTTATGTTATGTTGTTTTTTTCATATTCTACTTGTAGTGTCCTGCTCCCTTGCAAGGGTTGTATGCGATGACAGGTACTTCTTCGGCTATATCCTGCTCTGAGGTGGTGTTTAGGGTTTAGGGGTTTAGGGTTTAGGAATGTTAAAGTAAACAGGTATAGAGACATATCTCCCTACCTCTCCTAGCCGTCGGTCATCTTCCCTTTTTTCCCACTCCATCCCTCAAACTGCCAACCGCCCATTTGCCTACAGCAAATCCTTGCAGTCCAGACCTCCAGCCGCCAACCTACACGTTCCCAACCTCCCGAAATCTTGTCACCAGCCCATCTCTTCCCCCTCCTTAGCCTTGTTGTGTGTTTTCCTGCAGCCCCACCTATTGTCCAGCCCCTTAACAGCCACCCTACCGCCTCCATTTCACCTTCTTTAAGTGTCGCAACCTCCTTCCACCTTCCCTACAACTCCTTCCACCTTCCCCACCTTCCCTACCCACTATCGTCACCTCTCTGTCCGCTTATAATTGATACATCCACAATGACAACCCACACACCGGCACCCTCGCTGTCCTTGGATCTTCTTATTCGGCCTTAGTCGGAGATTAAGGTCTGTTGGAATTTTCTTTTAATTTAGTCTTGTTTGTAACCTTAAACAGTTGCTTAATAAAGTTTGTTCTCGTTTCTACTGATCTATGAATTAACTCTGATATTATTTAGTATCAGAGTTAACCTAACCATAGTCCTATCCTAGAGTTTCCTAGCATCCGCCATAAATAAAAAATTTTCCTTCCCATTACCAAATAACCACTTCTACAAATCTGAAACCCGAATCATGCCACCAAGGATATATGCCTGAGCCAACCCAAAAATAGATACGACGACAGGTTCATCGCCTTCAACAGAGGCTTGTGGAAATTGATGAGATGACTCAAGGGGAGATTACCCTCGATTGAGATCCGGAGAGTCGAAGGGGAGAAAGAAGGGAGGATCAAAATCCCTTCAATAAGGAGAATTTCGGTGATGAAAAAGATAGGTCACAGCATTTCGGAATCCAAATCATAGGAGAGCTAGAGAGGGGTATATGAATCACTTTCATGTGGAGAATTTCAGAGAGAATACATCATTTGGAGGGCACGGAGACTTCATAATTAAAGTGGATTTGTCAGAGTTTGATTGAGGTATGAATCTAGACGACTTTATTGACTGGATGCAATCTATTGAGCGGATCTTTGAATATAAAGATGTGCCAAAGGATGAGAGTTTCAAATTAGTTAATATCAAGTTGAAGAAAAGTCTTTATATGTTGTGGAAGAACTTACAGAGATAAAGAAAAAGGAAAGGCAGCGATAAGTTTATCAAGTGGGAGAAGATTAAAAAAGCGATTCAGAGGAAATACCTCCCACCCATTTACCACCAGGATATGTTTATGAGGATCCACCACCTATAGCAGAGGGATCTATTAGTAGACAAATTCACAAAACAGTTTGATCAGTTACAGATAAGATGTGATTTGGTCTAGCCAGATGAGCATATCATTGCCCATTATCTGGGAGGCCTGAAGCCGGTTATTAGTAACACGGTGCAGCAACAACCTTATTCGCCACTGGGAGATGTTCAGACTCTAGCCTTGAAGGTGGAAAGTCAATCGAAACAAAATAGGCAATAGTTGTCCTTCAGGCAGTAGCCTTTAGTTAAGCGATCACCTACAGCTACCACGACCGACAAAGGTACCATGGGAGGAACTAGCAAGACCGGACAAAAAAGTGACAAGTCGGATCATAGTGAGAAGAAACAGATGAAAAGTAGCTCCTCCAATACAGTACCGGCCAAGAAGTGTTTCAGGTGTCACGGTTACGGCCTCATAGCCTCCAGTTGTCCCACGAGCCGAGTAGTCACCCTTACAGATCAGGACACCGTGGAAAAAGTTAGCAATGAGGTGACAACTAAGGATCAGGGTGAGGTGTAACATCTTCAACCAAATAAAGGGGAAGCGCTCGTAATTTGATGGGTCCTATAGGTCAATATTGATATGAGGGATTAGCAGTGGCTTCATCACAATATAAATGTAAACAAGAAAGTATGCAGACTCATCATCGATGAAGAGAGCTGTAAAAATGTGACATCTACACAGATGGTTGAGAAATTGGGTCCCGTGATTCAAAGATATTCCAAATCGTATTCACTGACGTGGCTGAAGCAGAATTGGGTCAGCATTAACCAGAGATGCTCAGTAAAGTTTCTTATTGGGGCCGACTGCATAACAGGTGTGTTGTGACATGGTATCTATCGATGCATGTCACATTTTGTTGAGAAAATCATGGCAGCAACACGATGGATTCAGAAACATGTATTTTTCACCAAGGATGGGAAGCCCATCAACCTACTTTCTTTGGCGAAGCCCGAGATCACAAAATCCCTCACCAACAAAGCAGCCTTGGTGGTACCAATTTTGGTGGCGACAAAGGATGAGAGGTTTGGGATACCAGCTCCAGACATGTGACAGGACCATAGAGGGTATTTTAAAGTCCCACGGTTACCACCACCACCACTATGTGGGAAGGTTCAAATTACTCTCACTACAGATTAGATTACCCCAACTGTGGGTTACTTTGGAAAGATTCAGCAGTGCATGTAGTTGACCTCAATTTTGAGGTCTTTCTTTCCCTCTTCCTAGAGCCAATGATCTAGCCTCATAATTTCCTGTTTGACCCTCCTAAAGGACTACATTCGACCTACACTATTTAGAAATTTGAGTCATTTATTCGCTCCTTATAATTTCATATGAACGATTTCAAATCCTCAGTATTTGATTGAGTCGATTAAAATTGACATATCGAAGCTCAAGTTGAGCTCCTATAGAGATTTGAGTCATAAGGGGACCACACGACGTACGAAGTTTAACTTGTTGTCAAAAGCAGTCACCCTGAGGCGAGGACCAATCAACAATTTGCTCGTTAAACGGCTCCGGTCGGGCCAAATAACTTCATTTGTAGTGACGCACACGAATTGAAGTTAAACACGATCATCGACGAACTTGTCTGAATGGCCCTGGATGACGAAACAGACAGCGTTGGTGCGTCCGGAACATCGATTTTACCTAAGAATGACACACATAT